AAACAAATCAAAAGGTAATAAAAATGGTCTTATACTTTTCTACATTTTAATAAGGTACAGGTCAAATTAAGTATGTCGAAAGGTAATTATTTTAATGGTAATTATTGTACAATTATTACTGGCATTTTATTTCCACTAAAGAAAATCAAAACATTAAAAATGCCACTTGTATTTAGTATGATTTGTTTTGTAAAAAAAAAAAAAAAATTGAAAAAATTGAAAAAACTGGTTGTTGATGCTAAAATGACACGTTCAATAAAAAAACAATTCTTACAGCTTTGTTAAATCAAATCAAATGTTCACGCCATCTCAATTTATATAAATTCAACAGTCAAAAATTAGTTAAACTTTGTATAATTTAAAAAACATTATATGAAGCCTGATTAATTATTAAAATAAGTTCAAGTAACATAAAAACATTTACTGAAAAAAAAAAAAAAAACATCTCCTGCTCATTCAACCTACTTATTAGTTGAACCAACACAAATTTTGGGGGTGAGTGGGGGGGCTTAATTGTTTTTTGTTTAATCCACTTAATTAAGGATCACGTTTTATTGACATGACATAATTTTTTTACAGTGTACAGTACTTACACCGCAACTTGTATAAAGCTCCATATCATCACAGATTAAATCTCTACTGTTAGTAGTCAAATGCATGTATATACTTCATTACTAATATTATCAGTAAAATCTGTGCTCTAAAAAAAGTCTGAAATCACTAACTATACAGTGATAATTACACAATTAACATATGTTTCCTTTATATAATCATTTAAACAACCCTGGAATAACAACTCTACTCCACTAATTAGAAAATTACATCCCTGAATTGAAAAGTGCTTCTTTAGCTTTCGTTTATTTTTAGGCATCTTTAATCATGAAAAAGAACTTAATTGTTCCTATTATATATTATTTTGCTGAATGACAGAAAGACGTTTGCTATGAAAAATAAAACAAAGAACTGAGTTTGCTTTTCTACTACTTTGGGAAAATCTAAATCGTCCCATTTTTGACTAAGGCACAAAAGTAAATGACCACAACTGAACAGCGTTTTCCTCAAAGATCACTGAATTTCCTTCCGCGGGCTGTGAAAAGCTTCAGGATCGCATTCAGCAAAACAAACAAAAAAGCAAAACACATGACCACTTCAAGACAAAGACTGAAAAAACAAAACCAAAGGCCCTTCAGTGCTTAAGAACCAGAGGTAAGAGTCATTCATCAGAACATTGGATAATTGAAATAATAGGCCGTTGAACTGTTTGAGAACCAAGAAAAGAGCTATGTAATGTTGTGAAACCAATTAGCCGAAAGCAACAACCATCAACAATATATTTTAACAGAAGAGCACCTGACAGAGAATACCAGCAATGAAAGGACATTCGGTTAATAATAGCTGTTTAATTCACTGTATTAACCTCCAGACTTTTTTCTGGGGAAAGGTTAGTACTTAATACATTTGAACTATCTACAATTCAATGATCTATAGTGAAGTTACATGACAAGTGTTTAGGATTTTTATATGTGAAGCTCCATTATAAGTGTTCCTCACAAAACCATCAAGGTATCGATGAGATGAAGACGATAAGTGTATTAATAATACAGCTTAAACAGTCCAAAATCTAACAAACAGAGCTCAGGGGTAACTTAAATAATGTGTCAGTGCTCTTTGGGGAAGGGATTCATCAGAATAAACAGCAAAAAGCAGTCCAAGGCACTTGATAAATGTAGGGGAAAAAGCTTTATTGACATGGGTATTCCTTAAAACTGCGCCTTTGTTTGTGGAAATGCGTAGGCACAGTTTTAAAAAATAGACATGTCAATAAAGGCTTTTTAAAAAATGTTGTCCATATTTTTCGAGTGCCTTGGACTGATTTTTGAGACTTAAACAGTGTTTAGCTATTTAACAAAATAAAAAATGCTATTTAATTTGAAACAGAGCTGTTTTGAAAGTAAGTTTGCTGGGTTTCTGTCTAGAGAGAAAGTAAAATGTATTGAGTACATAAATAAAATGGTTAAAATGGCTCTCTGGAATTTTTAATCACACTGAATAATCTTTTTTAATTTATTTATTTTTGTATAATGACCAGTAAACTGCATTCTTGTTGATCCAAGCAATCGATATTCTGCTTGCTGTGTTGCTTTCATGTCTTTCATAGCACTCCATGGTCTCTTTCTTTTCACAAGATAAAATCATTTCCACTTAAATCAACATTACATGAACATTTAGCTGTTGTTAAGTAGTCATGGTAATTTTAACTCAGGTCTTACTTATTTTATACTTTAATAACCAGTGCAGGCATGCATTAGTGCACTTGTAATGAAACCATATGTATTAAATCAAGAGAGAAATGTTTTAATCATTCATCTGTAAACCCAAGTTCAACTCCAAATTTAGCTCATATTAGCTTTAATTTAAAATTTACGTATATAAGGATGTAAAAGTAAAACTCTGCTGAAAATACTTCAGCCGTGATGATCGATTCAGTTTACAAATGATGGAGAGTTTGGCATCTTGTGTTGTGCATCTGCTAAATGTTGATGGGTTTCAAAAATGAAGTCATAAGTGATCATCACTAATGTGATTACTGGATAGACAGTAATAAGTGAAGTAATCATATTATAAAGTGGAAATACTTGGGGTACAAATTATGAAAATGAATGCTGGCCATTAAAACTGGTATGAAACAAACAAACAAAAATATTCACAGTATTGTCCCCTGTCTTGAGACTTGTTTTTTCCAGAGTGGTATTAACTACTAGTCAGTAGACATGTCATCAGAGAATAGATTTGAATATTTGAATATGACAACCATAACCCGGAAGCTAATGTATAACAGATATATAGGCAAATCAGCAAATTAGATTCTAGATTTGATAGATTTGAAAATAGATTTTTTTTCTGAGCCCGATTATAAAAACAAAGTCAAACAAATACACTTCAAAAAAAAAAAAAGGTTTTGTTTTGTTTCTGTCTTTGGACTGTGGGGGAAATCGGAGCACCTGGATGAAACCCACACCAACACGGGGAGAACATGCAAACTCCACACAGAAATGGTAACTGGCCCAGCTGGCACTCGAACCAACGACGTTCTTGCTCTGAGGCGACAGTGCTAACCGTTTTTTATTTTTATTTTTTTCATTTTATTATTTTATAATATTTAATGCTTGTCTAAAATGTTTAGCAATTTGAACTAGAAACAAGACAAAACAGTAGGAAAAGCATTTTTTTTGCAGTGTAGTGGATGACATCGAGATTTTTTTTTTTTATCAATTTTAGTACAAACTGCAATTCTGAAGTTCTCATTTTTCCCCAATTAAATATCTTCCCTTCAGCATAACAATTCCAAATACTCATATCTGCTTTGTATGATGTGTCAAGTCATATTAAAAGCATTAATTAAAACATCTAATGTTGATCAACCAGTGAAAATAATTCATTAATTATCGCAGTGACAATTTACTTTTTGGGCAGATAATGAAAACATTGTGCATCCCTAGATTTAAGATATCAGAAACATATGAAAAATAAATGATGCGCATGGTGGAAAATCTGCAATAATCCATAAAATAAAATGATTCGTCCATTTTGATTTCATAATGATCTATGGAAGCTTGTTTCTGCAACTGAATAAAAAAATATAAATAGGTTATTGAGACTTTTTAACTCAGAATTGTGAGATACAAACATGGAAAGAGAAATAAAGTCAGATTCTGATATAAAGTCACAATTCTAAGCTATAAAATTGGAATTGTGAGATATAAAGTTCCATTTTTGAATAATAAAATCATAATTCTGATATAAAGACACAATACCAAGATATAAAGTCAGAATTATGAGACATAAAGTCAATATTCTAAGAAATAAAGTCAAAATTTAGAGATAAAAAAAATCAATTCCAAATTAGAAAGTCAAAATATTTAAAAATTCTAAGAAATAAAGTAAAAATTGCATGATTTAAAGGCAGAATTCTGTTGTAAAATTTCTAATTCCAAGATATAATGTAACAATTCTGAGAAATAATGTCAATATTCTGAGTTATAAAAACAAAATTCTTAGAAATAAAGTCGAAATCACTTGATACAAAGGCAGAATTCTGATATAAAGTCATAATTTCAAGATATAATATAACACTTCTGAGATTTAAAGTCCCAATTCAGAGTTATAAAGACAAAATTTGGTGATAAAAGGATGCATTTTGAGTTTTAAAGTCAGAATTCTGACTTTATGCAGTTCTAAGATAAAATGTTGCAATTCTGAGTTATAAAGACAAAATTCTGAGAAATGAGGTCGAAATTGTATGGTATCAAGGAAATTTTCAAGATAAATCAGAGTTATAAAGTCAAAATATGGAGATAAAAAGTTGCATTTTGAGTTATAAAGTCAGAATTCTGACTTTATATTATACAGCTCTGAGATAAAAAGTCACAATTCTGAGTTGTAAAGACGAAATTCAGAGAAATAAATTCAAAATTGCGTGATATAAAAGTAAAATTTTGATATAATGTCACAATTCTGTTTAGAAAGTCAGAATTTGGAGATAAAAAGTTGCAATTCCGAGTTAAAAAGTCAAAATTCTAAGAAATAAAGTCAAAACGGTGAGAAATAAAGTCATGTTTGGGGGATTTAAAGTTTGTATCTCCAATTCTGAGAAATAAAGGCATAATTGTGTGCTTTTAAATCTCAATTGCGAGAAAAAAGTTAGAACTTGGAAATAAAAAGTTGCTATTCTGAGTTATAACGTCTGAATTCTGACTTTATATTATACAGTTCTCAGTTATAAAATCAAAAATTCTGACATATTAAGTCAAAATTGTATGCTTTAAAATCTCAATTGCGAGAAAAATGTCAGAATTGTGAGATAAAAAATTCTGAATTGTGAGTTTGAGAATTTTGAGTTCAAGATAAAAAAGTCGCAATAGCCTTTTTTTTTTATTATTCAGAAAGCGCTTCCATAAAGATCCCACAGGACCTATCCCATCTCACTTAATCCCACTCACCGTCTTCCTCAGTCTGTTTGACGATCTCCTCGCTCTCCTTGCTGCCCTCTGGGTTTGCGAGCACCAGTCGGAGCCTGACGGTCACGAATGGCCTCAGTCCCCGCAGCGTGTAATGAGAGGAGGTGGGGATGAGGTCCTCTGTAGCGTACACCTGCTGGTTGAACACATACTGGTACTGAACGGTCAGGTTGAAACTGTGGCAGCGGGTCACAGCATATCCAAACGTCTCCCACTGCAGGGTGAGCTGACGAGCGCGGATATCCACCACATTCACGTTCTGGGGACCATTGACTGGATCTGTAGGGACACACAGAAATAAAAAGGAAGATCTGAGATCAGTTTTGGTCAACTTGACATTAGTGAGGGGAAAATAAACTGGCTAAAAGGATTATTAAAAGAGAGATGTTTCATGTGTTTTAAACTTTACCAACAGACTTGGCAGATAGATTATAATAGATCTGAATGTTTGCACTGTTGTTTATTATGATTATGATGGTGGTTATTATTATTATTATTATTATTATTATTATTATTATTATTATTATTATTATTATTATTATTATTATTATTATTATTATTATTATTAATAGTAGTAGTAGTAGTAGTATTGCTGTTATTATTATTACTGTTATTTTTATTATTATTAGTAGTATTTTTTGTATTATTAATATTGCTGTTATCTAAATTATATGTATGTATGTATGTATGTATGTATGTATGTATGTATGTATGTATGTATGTATATATATATATATATACACACACACACACACACACACACAGACACACACACACACACACACACACACACACACACACACACACACACACACACACACACACACACACACACACACACACACACACACATATATATATAGGCCTCTGATTTCTTATTTTACAGTCACAAATTTCTATACTGTCCTTATAATGTACATTTCATGATTTCATGTCAATTTCAGCACTATTTGTTAAGTTGTCAACGTTGTAATAATTAATACTGTCTAATCTTAGAGTCATTGACACATGGGAGGTACAAATAACCTTGAATTATGACTGTCTCACAGCAGAATGTATTATCACTCACAGCATTATGTTGGCATTACAAAATAATAACTTAGCCAAGGACCTCTGAAAATCCTTGCAGTCCACCCCTTCTGAAATACTCAAAATGGCAATGATTTTCCATTGAACAAACACACAAATTAAGCTTCAAAACTATCCTCTGATGCATACGAGATCCTAGAACAATATTGTGTAGTGAAACAAACAATATCAGAAAGTCGCCAGTGGCTCCAGTGGGGTTGTTGGACAAAATCTCTCCAACTAATTCCTCCAGATTAGAAACACAGCATAAAAGAGGAAGGCGGCTGGTTTGTGACTCTGGCCTTGGATGAATCTTGAGGGAGACGCATGTCAAAGGGAGTTTTGGCATCTTAAGATAGTTTACATCGTGGCAGTTCTCTTAAGGCGCTTTCATTCTCCAAGTTCAGAGAGTTCCCGAATGCGGAGCAATCTGAGCATTGTCAGAACTGTGTCATGTCTGGGACAGACATCAGCGATTTCCAGCTTCATGGGCTCACATGGGAGTCTCAGATTTACAAAGTCTGAAGCATCACTTATTCCAATGCATTGTGTTGGAGATGAAGCACATCAGACTAATTGGTTGAAAATAGGGATGCAAATGACTAATCACCAATCCTATTTATTTGGTCGATGTTAAGGTCCAATGAAGTGCTTTGAATGTGCATTTTTCATTTGACATTTGAAGTAATCACAAATGGGTGTAATTGAGCTTTAGAACGTCCAAGAAAAAGCAAATAAGAAGCATCTTGAAGGGGGTGAGTTATGTCAGATTCTTGAGGGCATTTGATTGGTCAAAAGATTTGATGAGAGACTGAAGTATGGGGTGATGTAAAAAAAAAACATTCATCCATATTGGCGAAAGTAAAAAAAAAAAAACTGCAAGCTTGGGATGTTTATATCAGGTATATATCTTCTCAATGTGATTTTATCACTGTATTGGAACACACTAGCTTTGCTTAAAACTAATATACTGATACTAACATCTAACAACTTTTATTTTTTATTTTATGACACCTTTAAGGATTGGTAAGTTTATTAACTCTTTTCCTTCCAGTGAAAAGATATCTCATCAATAAGGAAACAATGCAAAGATGAGTTTGTGTTCTAGGTGTATTACAGTTAGGAAAGCTCCAAGGTGAGTTTAACTTTGAAAAAAAGCAAAAAAGGGCTTTTTTTGGCAAAAAATATATACACTGTAAAACCCAACAGTCAACTTTATCAAATGAAATGAGTGTAGTTAACTCAAAATTTACTGAAAGTTACTTCTACTCATTTGAAAAGAGTTTTGAACTCAGTGTTGAAGGTAATGAGTCTATATAAATACCTCATTACTTCAACTCAAATGTAGAAAAGTCACAGTAGTCAAAAAAATTAGCTTTTGACTCAAACGGTGTAATTAACTCAACAGTGTAAATATAAATGTAATTACTAAAAATTGATTACACACTGTAAAAAAATTATGGGTTCCACACAATCAATTCGTGTTGGGACAACAAGAAGGAATTGAGCTAACTTAACAGTTTGTACACATTTAAGTAGATTGAACATGAAACAATTAAGTTGTCCCCAAATACACTCAAGAATTGTGTTGTTACAGCTCATTGTAAATAAACTGTTTGAACAAACAGCAGATTTCGAGTGCAGATTAGGGATGCTCATTTCAGATAATTTTGCCAACCAACAACCGCTGCTCATTAACCGAATATTAGCCATTAACTGATCAAATTAATATTAAATTATTACTTAACAAAAAAACATTTACATGTCTATTTTGTGTCTGACAGATGAACTATTGCATTTTAAAATACTGATTCAAGCACCTGCAGTGTTTTCAACAGAATAGAAAAACTAAATAAACAAAATAAAAATAATAAAAAAATAGACCTGCCCTAGATATTTTCACTTAAATTACAAATTTAGATTACAAAACCAAAACACTGACAGAATCCTTTTTAATAGCCGGTACAGGCTGCTTTTCCCAAAATGTTTTTTTTTATTATTTTTTTTAATAAAAATAGCAGGCTACCTCAAAACGATCATGCATTTAATTAATGCTCCACTGTTATTCTTATATCATAAACCTCTGTAAACATTTTAATAGAAGTCATTACTTTAAAGATTATGTTTTAAGTGTCTAATTTTACCCTAATTTATAAGAACTATTAGTAACTGTAATTTTCCAAATGAAAAAGGTTGTTTGTTGGTTGTACACTAAATCATCACAAACAGAGCCTGTTTGTTGTGTTTAAGAGTGGTGCCGATGCACGCTCTGATGGAAAGAAAAACACGACGCTCAGCCTTGTGATCAGCAAAGCATAGCACATTTCAGAAAGTTTTGTTTTGTGGCTTTTTCTCCAATTCTGCAAATAAACGGAGGTGTTTATGATGCGGATCCAGGACAGAGGCAATCAGCATCAGCATTGGTTTGGCATCAACTCGTCTGTGTCAAACTTTGACCAGCAATATTCTTCTTTTATTTTGCTTCTTTGGCAAAATATGTAGCCACGTGTAGTCCCGCGAGTTAACAAATATGTTGCACATTCATGCAGCCAATTAAAAAAATTATATATATATATATGTATATATATATATATATATATATATATATATATATATATATATATACATATACATTAATCTCACCATTGATACCATTAATCTGTTAAAAACACACTCCTTCAGTTAACAATGAAACGATTATTTACTGTTAACCGAATTCAAGAACATGATTTACACAATAAGTACATTGTAACCAATGATTAATTTCAGTGTAAGTACATATTAGTTAAGGTCACCTAATATAAAGTGGAACCAAAAAATTTATTATATGAAAAATGACATTGACTTGTACTGTGTGTACTGTAATTGTACTGTTCCTCAAGTATTCTACTTAATCATAGGTGAGTGAATTAGAAAAAAAGAACAACTAAAGACCCAATCCTCTGTTCCCGAAAGCCAGATTACAGCTAATCTATATTTAATCAGAACTGGCTCTTATCTAAAGGTGTCATCTAAGCAGATTTGAGTAAATCCTGCATGGCTAAGCCTCACAAGAGTAGCTCTAAATGCAGAGACATATGTCCAGTGTTTTGGCTTTCAGTCAGCGAGGGTCTGTGTCCAACATGCAGCCCCCTGTCGAGGGAAGGTGTTATAGGGGATTTGCTTGGTGGACAGGTGCAGGGGTAACAGTATCATCATTAATCTGACAGAAAAAGGTGAATATGTGAAAGCATTAGCCACACGCTAATGCGCGGCCGCGGGGTACGCTGCGGTGCCATAGGTGGGCTTTTGGACGCTGGATGAGTTTAGCAAGGGGAGATGCTGATGGATGGCAAGCGTAGAGGGCCATTAATCGCAGACGTTGGGGAGAATTGCATAAGAGAAATCAATCTTCAGTACTGCCGCTGTGCTGCTTTGGCGCGATCTCTTCAGACCCAAACGCCCCGCAACATTTATCACCTCCACCATCCCTCTCGCACTCTCACGGAAACTGCAAGCAATAAACATATCAATAGGTGTCCACCGTACCCAGCTGCGGAGGTTTTTAAACGGAGATATTCAGATGAGGGAAAGACTGAGGGAGGGAATGAACAACAACAGTGAAAAATGAAAAAAGCAAAGTGTATCTCGTTCGGGGTAATGCAATGGTGTCAAATATAGATTGGCTATTATTCTGCTTTCTAGATATCAGCGTTGAAACATTGAAAACGGCATGATGATCCGTTTTGGGTTGATACATTGCCGCTTTTTTGAAAAGAAAGCATTGTAATGATCACCTGGAGTATAGAGCAAATGGGAAAATAATTGTATCAAAATAAAATAAAATAAAATAAAATAAAATAAAATAAAATAAAATAAAATAAAATAAAATAAAATAAAATAAAATAAAATAAAATAAAATAAAATAAAATAAAATTAAATTAAATTAAATTAAATAATAAAAAAATAAAATGTAAAAATATAAAAAATAACATATAAAAATATTTGTTGAAAAAATTAATAAAACAAAATGACGCACTTTTGTAAAAAAAATTGATTTTACAAAAAAATAAAATAAATAAAAATTTAATGGCCATCTGGCATATACAGCAAATGAGAAAACCACAGTATAAAATAAAATAAAATAAAATAAAATAAAATAAAATAAAATAAAATAAAATAAAATAAAATAAAATAAAAACTTAAAAATTTAATTAAATTAAATAAAAATT